AAAAATGATATTAATATTAAACTAGTTTATTTTGATTTTTGATGTAATAATGTTCTATATAAAATATTTGTAAATATAAATACAATAAAAGACGTTGATAATAATAAAAACCCCCTAAATAATAAAACTTTCAAATAAATAAGATTGATTGCCAATTAAGTAAATAACAAAAAAAAAAAATCGGAACAAGGGATCACTTCATATATTAGATGAAAATTTGCATATATGTTGGATTGAAACAAACACATTATGAAACAACGCAAGAAGGTACATATTGCCTAAATGTCACTTCTTGTGCCACACGGTTAATTGTGATTCAAGTTGAATATTCCAATACTGATTAATTTGGACATTGACATTGTATGGAGACAACATGAGAAAGCAAGCATCAGCATGATATACAAAAAAGTTACCTGACTATCCTCCCTGATTCTTAAATTTTGTCCTGCTGAATTCAACAAGTCGTTAACAACCTAAAGAAAATAGGAATCTTAAGACTGCAACATTACATAACAGAAACCAAGTGTCATGTAGGTTATCCATATATATTTTATTCAGTGTGTTGATTTGGTATGATCATAAGTGGCATTATGTAAGATTGATGTAAAGTAGAGATAAAAAGAAGAGCTAGAAAGCTAAATACATTAAATTATGAGACAATTAGAGGTTATCTTGAAGTGATTTCATATACTTTGGGTAATATTTTACAGATTTCAGGTGAAGACTTGGTATCTAAAGCTAATGGACTGGTTGATATGCTTATGCCCTTTGTTAGCTTGTTTAGCGTATTGCTTTGTCTTCTTCTCAAAGTTCTCACGAACCTTTTCATGTAGACATTTTACTGCATTCGCTTTCTTTTCACCATCCAATCTAACTTGTTCCTTTAGTGGCAAAAGAGACAAATCCAAAGGAGTAAGAGGGTTAAAGCCATAGACAACTTCGAAAGGGGAAAAGTTGGTTGATGAATGAACAACCCTATTATAAGCAAATTCGACTATGGGAAGACATTCTTCCCAACCTCTCAAATTACTCTCAATAACAACCCTAAAAAGTGACCCTAGAGTACGATTGGTCACTTCTATTTGACCATCAGTTCGAGGGTGACTAAATGTAGAAAAGAGCAATTTAGTGTCTAATTTGCACCACAAAGTCTTCCAAAAATAGTTTAGAAACTTCACATCTCTATCACTCACAATGCTCCTAGGAACTCCATGAAGACGCACAATTTCTTTAAAGAATAAATTGGCGATATTCTTTGCATCGTCCATTTTTCTACATGCAACAAAATGAGCCATTTAGAAAAAATGATCTACGATGACAAAAAGAGAATCCATACCTCGTTAAGTTCTTGGTAAACCCAACACAAAATCTTTCGAGATGTCAACCCAAGGGGAGGCTGGAATTGGGAGTGGCGTATATAACCATGAGGATTGGATTTGGATTTTGCCTTTTTGCACTCAACACACCTTTTACAAATACGAGTAACATCTCTTTTCATCCCAGACCAATCAAAATGTTCAACTAATATGTCCAAAGTTTTGTGAACACCAAAATGTCCCATCAAACCTCCACTATGTGCTTCTCGAACTAGTAACTCATGCAATGAACACTTTGGCACACATAGTTTTGACTCCTTAAACAAATATCCTTCATGTTTGAAAAACTTATGAAATGCAACTTGCTCACATGCACCAAATACCCTCGAAAAATCAGGGTCACTATCATATATAAACACTTATGGAAATTATGAACACACATTGAACATATATGAACACTTGTGGCAATTATGAACACAATTGAACATTTACGATTTCTAGTGCTTGTAACCGATGATATTGATTGCACCTCCTCTTTTACATTAATACCCTTGAGTTATTATGTTCACATGTGTTTGTGAGATTATAAGGGTAATAAATTAAACTTATAATATGATTAATCTCAACCCTCTATTTTAAAAATCAATGGTCATGATTAGTTCATAAAGTAAACAATATAATTTGGGTTGACAAATATATATATATATAGATAGGGGCCTAATCAACAAAGAACTGTTTAGTTTGTGATAACCGTGAGATCCAACGTGAACCAATTATTCAGGATAATTAATATGATTTCTTAAAATAAGTAGAAGGATAAATTAGTAAAATTGTGTTGAGTATTCAATTTACTTTAGTTAGTTTAATATTCTAACTTTGAAATAGATATATGTATACATACACACACACACACACACACATATATATATATATATTAAAATGGACGAGATCACCACCTGTGACCCTCTTTCCCCATCCGACCATAACATGTTTCCTCTCAAGTGTGACACTTTACACCGATCCCTTTTCCCAACACTGTCTGATGCCTCCTTCTCCATCCATTTCTAGCCACCGGCAGCCGCTGCTTCTTATTCTCTGCCCATCTCCAACCACCGACCGTCATCTCCTCAACTTTGACCTTCACCGGTCCGACTCCCCCATTTTGAAAAACCCAGATCAGTTTTGGTTTTTTAATATCCCCAGAGATATGGTTTCTTCACACCCAGATCGGTTTCGGTTTCGATTTTTGTTTAGATCTCGTTTCAGATCCGAGACATAACTCAGATCTTGCTGGAGATGTAACACAGATATCGTTGGAGATGTAACACATAAGATATAAGGTTTTTGGATGTAACCAAGATCTCTTCAGAGATGTAACGTCGGGTGTAATATAGTGGTAACGTCGAGTGTAATAGTGGAATAAGGTTCATCGGAATAAAGTTTGAAGGAGAAAGGATAACTTTTTCAAATACCTAAAATGCCCTTTAACTAAAGCTTTAAGTCAAATTACCAAAATTATTAGCTTCCTAATTTAACCATTATTTATGGTTGAGATTGGATCTCACAGTTATGATAAACTAACTAGTTTCGTTGAATTTCCTCTCTCTCTCTCTCTCTCTATTATTAAACCCAAATCTAAAGTTTCTCCAAATGATTGGTAGAACAAAAGGCAAATTAAGGTTGTTGTGAGTGTAAGAAGAAAAGGGATGTTTTTCTTTACAACACAAAAAGCCTTTTTATAACCAACAAAGGGCAAAGGGGAGGACTAATACATAGGCAAACAAATTAAACACATGGCAAATCCTTCAAAGATATCCTCTACTCATGATTCGGTGAAAATATATTCTTGGAATATTCCAAAAATCTCATGGTGGCTTAACGCTGCAGCATGTGACTATCTCCTGTTTTTCATCATCTGATTTCTCCCAGCCAAAATGGCCAAAATTCGTCAAACTAGATCGTTTCTACTTCCAAGATCCATAAATAAGAACAATATAAAATAGTAATGAAAAAGACTCAAGTCATCCATTCAAGGATGTAAAACGCAAAAGAGATGTCGAAATTTATGAAATTTTATCACAATAAATAATACTCATCACATTGCATCAAGTTTCTTTTTATGACTTTCCACGACATTAGAGCTCGTAGTTGTTTATGCCAAAAATTACACCCAAGATAATTTAAGGTTGGTTTGTGGAGATTTGACAATTAAAGATCAAATTCTTCAACATAAACACGACGATAAAATAAATATAAGGGACACAAGAATTGGTCGCGGAAAAAGTCTTTAATGAGGGAGGGAAAAACCTATGGACCATAGGAGATATCATCGATGTACTATGTATGTCAATTAGGGACGTCATCCAATAATATGAAACAAAAGTAGCTTATCGTAATTTGCTCTAATGCTCGAATCTCTTTGTATGTGCGTAGATGTAGATCTCTTTTCTTGAGTTCCTCTGGCCTTTTTATAAGTGCTTTCCCTAGATGGTTTCAACAGTACCTCTTAAAGAGCCTTTATGGATATAATAGTTATCTTTAGTTAGGACATTGATGATTGGTCGTGGATTACTTTGATGAATTAATGTGGTAGATCTTGATCATCAATGCTTGAGACCTGCAATAAATACCAAAGATAACATATAGGGGATAAAAGAAGAGAGGGGGTTATAGAAAGTTAAAAAGGACATGCAAGGGAAACTTATACGAACTTAAATCCTATTCAATAAATTAGAGGGTAACCCATAACACAACGTTAGCCTAAGTAGCCTATCTTCCCCTTAGAAAATACATGCAAAGACATGCAAAATAAAGACTCAAACAATAACAACAAATAACAAACAATAACACTCAT